GGTTTGTGTTTGGGGGGGGGGGGGGGGGGGGGGGGGGGGTGGTTTGTTCATTAACCTGACTTGGAAATACTTAAAGCAACTGCTGGTTGGGTTTTGAGTCACAGTTGTGCCCAGGACTGTTTGCCCTAGTCCAGCAAATGTTACTTTGAGCTGAATATGGTGTTTGTACCCGCTAATGTCGTCACAGCGCAGTTGACATTGTTGGCGTAACGATCCTCATGAGAATCGAGAGGATTTTTGAGTTCAAAATCTCTATCAGTCGCCCAAAATTCGATTAAACAATGTTTCATAAATGTTCTCAAAGGAACAAATTTACAAACTCAGTTGCAATATGCCAGAGCCCACCCAACTAGAGCGACTGGGAAATTAATAGAGTACAGAATATATCTTCAATCTTTATCTTATTTTGATTTTTTATTGAAGCCGAAACGCATTCTAAAGGAATGGTAGTACAACAATCCATCAATAGAGGCAGGTTTTGGATAATCTATTGAATTTTTTTTTTTTCTCTTTTCTTTCNCTGAAGCCGAAACGCATTCTAAAGGAATGGTAGTACAACAATCCATCGATAGAGGCAGGTTTTGGATAATCTATTGAATTTTTGTTTTTTTCTCTTTTCTTTCTTTTGGATGGAGAGAGATGGTCGGTAATATACTGTGANGAAATTAATAGAGTACAGAATATATCTTCAATCTTTATCTTATTTTGATTTTTTATTGAAGCCGAAACGCATTCTAAAGGAATGGTAGTACAACAATCCATCAATAGAGGCAGGTTTTGGATAATCTATTGAATTTTTTTTTTTTCTCTTTTCTTTCTTTTGGATGGAGAGAGATGGTCGGTAATATACTGTGAGAAACTTTAGTGTATCTTGTTAGTGAGAAAGTAGAGTGATGCTACGGACCCATTCGCCTAACTAAAATTAACTATATCTTGCAGCTTTTAAAGCTCTAAATAATCAATAAACATAAAGGAAAAGAAAAGAAAAGGAAAGAAAAGAAAAAGCAGTTTCGATCTGAGTTATCCATCATTGTGGGCCTAACAGTTGGCGGTTGGTCTAATACTTGTCGTCTCCCTAACTCCCGTCATATAATAGTGTCTGGACGAAAAAAAAAAATTTGTGGGCCTGCTTAAAGCACTTATTTAGGCTCGAAGAGATCCAGTTGTCGTGTAATGGATGGATATTCTCCATATCTGGGCTCATTGGGATTTATTTGAGCCCAACTCCTANGCTCGAAGAGATCCAGTTGTCGTGTAATGGATGGATATTCTCCATATCTGGGCTCATTGGGATTTATTTGAGCCCAACTCCTAGATTCAATGGAAGATTGGACACAGCTCTGTCCAAGTCCATCCATGTTATTTTTGACAGAAACAAAACTACCAAAAAAAATAGTTGACCCTACACATTTGATTATCTCGAAAATGTGATCACTTGTTCGTTTGTAGAAGATCGATACTACTATGTGATATAAATAATATTTTATGAATTTAAATTTAGGTATATTTATATCTAATCTGATTATGATTTGATTTAAATTTTTTATATTTTTTTTGTAAATATATAAAAAATTGTGATTATTTACAGAAATTTACTTAAAATTTAGAGATAATTTATTAAAATTTAGTTAAATTACATTATTTGGATTGAATCAAATTTTTAAATCGAATTTTAAATTATTAACAAATTTAAATATAAAACAAAAAAATAAAAACCATCAAAATATCAAATTAAAATTTTAAAATCGAATTCAAATTTGAATAAATTAGAGGCCTTACTTCGGACACGCCTATTTAAGTATAATTTAATTCCCATTCGCGCACTCATTCTAATTCCCTCCCATCAGCTTTCTTTTCCCCATCTGTGGAAGAATCGAATTCTCAAATCTTTGGAATCAATGGTAAAAATTGGAGATCGCGTCCTTATTCGTTTGGGAAACACTCTCGACTTGCCGGACACCGACACCGATCCTAGGGTTTTCGAAGGCTTGCCTAGGGCCTCGAGCCGGAACAGAGATGTCCATTAACCTCTCTGCGACACGATCCAGTTTTGATTTCTTGGATTTCAGGTTCTTTTGCTTTTTTATCTACGTGCATTTTCTTTTAGATTGACTAGTTTGTTGTTAATTAATTTCTGATTTCGCAGAAAACCAAAGTAATTGCAGTCTTGCAGATTAATGTAGTTTTTTTTGTCGACAGAATTGGTGATTAAGATTGATGTTAATGTTAGATTGCTTAAAGCGGTATTCCATGGTGTTCCTTTTCAGTGTGTACACATACATATTGTGTGCATATACGCATGCCATTGGTTATATATAAACAAGGGTAAAGCATAAGAAACAGGTCAAAAATCACACTTACAATCTAAAGAAAAGAGAAAGAAAGTTCTTGATTCTTGAAGTATAGAAGTTCATCAGCATCCACAAAAATAATCAATTCTTTGGGACTGTTTCAAAAGACATGTTCAATTTTCATGTAATGCATAAAAAAATGAGGGTGGGCCGTCATCTAATATGCATATGGTAACATATTGTATAATTTCTTAATCTCAGTTAACCTAGTAAATCTTAAACCTAAATAAAAATTCTTGAACTGACAGGTAAAAGGCACTATGCTGCAGTTTTAAACTGCGTAGATCAGCTTATCAGTCATCAAGTTATGCTAGCTAATGATGAGTCACATGTATGTCTTACTTCAAATATACGCACTTAACTAAGATTTCCAAATATGCTTCATCCCTTTTTCCCCTTGGAAAGATTGAGGTACAAAAAAGAGCAACCTTACATAATTAAAAAAACAAAATTCATCAGACAGAAAAAAAATTANAAAAAAGAGCAACCTTACATAATTAAAAAAACAAAATTCATCAGACAGAAAAAAAATTATTAGAAAGACGTACAGACATACCTTGCACTCAACTGGCTGCAGAAAGGTAGATCCTAATGGTATCTTTCATGGTGACTTTTCTCCGACAGGTAGGGCATTTGCTCTGAGAACTTATTGCAGACTTAATGCATGCCTTACAAAAATATGACCACACTTTGTAGACACTTCCTCAACTAATGGGCCCAAGCAAATAGCACAATTGAAGGTAGGCTCTTTTGGTGGTGGTGGCAAAGGTGGTGGCGCCACAATCTGTACATTCTCTCTCTGCCAATTTAAACATAAATAATAAATCTTAAAATATGGATAATATGTTCACAAAATAATCATCATACGAAAAAGAAATCACTCTGATCACTTTGGCTTCCACAACAATTAATGTAGCTTTCCAAAATCTATAAATAAAGGACATGAAATAAACTACATCTATTCCGCTATTGAAAATCCATTCCCACTACACAAGATGGGGCGGATATTTTATTCAGAATATGAAAAGACCACTTACTAACATATGAACATCTAGAGAATAACGCAGAAGCTATGTACAACCTTCTCACCAGCACTTGGCCTGGCGTGGTTCATTTTCAATTAAATTTGCAGGGGAATCCCAAATTGATTACAACATAAAGCCATTAGGTNATATGAACATCTAGAGAATAACGCAGAAGCTATGTACAACCTTCTCACCAGCACTTTGCCTGGCGTGGTTCATTTTCAATTAAATTTGCAGGGGAATCCCAAATTGATTACAACATAAAGCCATTAGATNGAATCGAATTCTCAAATCTTTGGAATCAATGGTAAAAATTGGAGATCGCGTCCTTATTCGTTTGGGAAACACTCTCGACTTGCCGGACACCGACACCGATCCTAGGGTTTTCGAAGGCTTGCCTAGGGCCTCGAGCCGGAACAGAGATGTCCATTAACCTCTCTGCGACACGATCCAGTTTTGATTTCTTGGATTTCAGGTTCTTTTGCTTTTTTATATACGTGCATTTTCTTTTAGATTGACTAGTTTGTTGTTAATTAATTTCTGATTTCGCAGAAAACCAAAGTAATTGCAGTCTTGCAGATTAATGTAGTTTTTTTTGTCGACAGAATTGGTGATTAAGATTGATGTTAATGTTAGATTGCTTAAAGCGGTATTCCATGGTGTTCCTTTTCAGTGTGTACACATACATATTGTGTGCATATACGCATGCCATTGGTTATATATAAACAAGGGTAAAGCATAAGAAACAGGTCAAAAATCACACTTACAATCTAAAGAAAAGAGAAAGAAAGTTCTTGATTCTTGAAGTATAGAAGTTCATCAGCATCCACAAAAATAATCAATTCTTTGGGACTGTTTCAAAAGACATGTTCAATTTTCATGTAATGCATAAAAAAATGAGGGTGGGCCGTCATCTAATATGCATATGGTAACATATTGTATAATTCTTAATCTCAGTTAACCTAGTAAATCTTAAACCTAAATAAAAATTCTTGAACTGACAGGTAAAAGGCACTATGCTGCAGTTTTAAACTGCGTAGATTAGCTTATCAGTCATCAAGTTATGCTAGCTAATGATGAGTCACATGTATGTCTTACTTCAAATATACGCACTTAACTAAGATTTCCAAATATGCTTCATCCCTTTTTCCCCTTGGAAAGATTGAGGTACAAAAAAGAGCAACCTTACATAATTAAAAAAACAAAATTCATCAGACAGAAAAAAAATTATTAGAAAGACGTACAGACATACCTTGCACTCAACTGGCTGCAGAAAGGTAGATCCTAATGGTGTCTTTCATGGTGACTTTTCTCCGACAGGTAGGGCATTTGCTCTGAGAACTTATTGCAGACTTAATGCATGCCTTACAAAAATATGACCACACTTTGTAGACACTTCCTCAACTAATGGGCCCAAGCAAATAGCACAATTGAAGGTAGGCTCTTTTGGTGGTGGTGGCAAAGGTGGTGGCGCCACAATCTGCACATTCTCTCTCTGCCAATTTAAACATAAATAATAAATCTTAAAATATGGATAATATGTTCACAAAATAATCATCATACGAAAAAGAAATCACTCTGATCACTTTGGCTTCCACAACAATTAATGTAGCTTTCCAAAATCTATAAATAAAGGACATGAAATAAACTACATCTATTCCGCTATTGAAAATCCATTCCCACTACACAAGATGGGGCGGATATTTTATTCAGAATATGAAAAGACCACTTACTAACATATGAACATCTAGAGAATAACGCAGAAGCTATGTACAACCTTCTCACCAGCACTTTGCCTGGCGTGGTTCATTTTCAATTAAATTTGCAGGGGAATCCCAAATTGATTACAACATAAAGCCATTAGATCCTGAGACTGTCTTCAGCATTGTCCATTATGGAATGTGAAGGCATTCATTGGGTCATGAAGCCAGGGTTTACTTTCTTGTCTGCCATCAGTTTAATACCAATGAGGACCTTCAGAATTACACTTCCAGAATCGTATAATTCATCCTGTTTGTCTTACAGGTATAATTTACCATTTTTCCTCTTCTTTGGTTGTTTGTGAGCACTATAATTTTGTTGGTGTTTTGATTTATATTCAGCAATTTCATTTTTGAGCTTCATGTATTCAACATTGGATGGTTCTTCATGTAGTGTATTTTATGGAAAAGATATAATCAAGCAGACATATAATTTGAAGAATGTGTAGCAGAAGTGATTACCAGAAAAATAACAGTCAAAGCAGTAATCAGAGGTGCTAGCTGCTTTCTAGTGATCTTACTTCTGCAATTTCTTCATATATGTGCATCCCGTAATTGAATTTAGGAATGTTTGGGACTTGCATTTTAGGTTATCTGTTCCTTGTTTAGTGTTATGAGTAAATCTTGCATATGATTTTAGCTGCAGTTAGCTAGCTAATCTTGTTTCATTTATGATGGGTGATTACTCGAAATCCAAATTCTCCCAGCTATTAGATGGACCTAAACTTTAGATCGGAAACATTTGTAGTTTTTTTGTATGCCCACTGCACAATAATTATGATACTTGTGATGGAACAAAGAAAGATGGAAAAATACCTATGATGGATATTACCTATACCAGTACAACTGCATATTGAGTATTGTCATTATGTTCATGCAACAATGATCAGGTTCATGCCTATGAGAGAGGCAAATTAAATTTATAACCACTCATTAAACTCGTGGTCATTTATATAAGAATTGGAGATGGGAGTAATCGATAGAAGATGACAATTGCCCATGTTGACGACGCTAACTGCCCATAACCAGCAACCTCCCCAGATTTATAAATGGGTGGCTTATGTGAGCAAATTTACAACTGGGCCGGTAGCCGGTAAATTCTGCTGAGACCGGCAAACTGACATTGCCTTCGGAGAAAGAGGCTTTGGCTGCGGGATCCTGAAGGTACAATCTCTCTCACTCTCACACATATGTAAGTTCCTCAAGCAATGTACCCCAGATTCTTCTAAAAGTGAACTGTGGTTTTCAGCTGCATCGTGTGGTGACTGATGCTACGTTTTCTAAGCATCAATTACTAATAAATAAAACACAAAATGGCAAAAAAACATTTGAAGTATACCAGATTAAAGCATTCAATTCTTGATCTACACTATTAATCTACATACTGACTTCACCCCTTTCTTGGATGTATTTTTAGAAACTCCGCGCTATGAATGGTACGACCTCAAATAGACACAAAAAAAGAGACAAATTTGTTGAAAATGGAATACGATGGGATATTTTTCAAATGAATAAGAAGTTTTGGGAATTTTGTTGTTTTGTTTGGTTGGAAGCAGATGGCAATTCTTATTATCTATATGTACAAATCAAGAGAAGACTTGAGTTGAAACCTAAATGAGCAAAATTCATATGCTGATAACCGTGATGTGGCTGCTACATAGTCAGACAAGCAGCCACTGAGTGTATGTTAATTTACATGCAATAGGCCGAATGTTAAGCAGAGTCATTGAGAAAAGTACTTGTCAGGAAAATGGAGCCATTGCCCGCTTGATTTTTTGCTTCCAGAATCTTTCTTCGGAAAGCAGAAGTTTTTCAAGGTCATTCTTGGCCAAATCTGACTCCATGTTCTTATCAGCTAACCAATTCTGTTCGAGAGCAAATTGGCCTTCTTCATTTTCGGCATTTCTATATTCTGAAATAGTTCACCAATTCAGTACTTGATTTTTTCAAGTCTGAGTTTTGTAAAGGGCAATTTGCCTGTCAAGAGTTGTCCACCTATATATTGGGAACTTGGATCAAGTCTTACAAAATAGATCAAATTCTATGCTTTCAGGGGTGCATATATTCAGTAGTTCTCATGAACATCTTGGAAGATGTTTCTGCATATGTTTTTTTCACTGATTGGTCCACTGTCGTTTTCTTTAGCCTGCAGTTGGGACCCTGCAGTTCACATCAATTGTTTTCAAAACAGCTGAGTGAAACTCTAAGAACGCTATTTGATGGTTGATTGTTGATGCTGATGATTTATGAATTGCAGGTGAAGAATGAGACTTGGTCCCTGTAAAGGAATCAGGATTCGCCCAGTAAAGCTAGGAATCAAATTTACAGTGAGCCAACCTGAAGTATGCCCCCAACGGTCATACCCGACCCGACCCATGAGGTAAAGCAAACTTTGTTTTTTTGGATAACTTCTTTTTATGGAAAGGCAATTGTGGGGTCTCGTTGCGACCCCTAATCATAGCCACTTGCAGTGAAATTCTAAGTTATCCATGGAGTTAATGGGAGAAGCAACAACCACCTAACGCTCTTAATTATGAGAAGAGTGTTACAGGTTGTGAATGCATCGTACTGTCAATGATGGGGGAGGAGGGGGGGGGGGGG